TGCACTAAACTTGTACATGAATGCTTCTAGAGGCATTATTCATAATAGCCCAAAGGAGGAAACAATCTAAATGTCTATCAGCTGTGTAGTACATCCAGACCATGGAAAAGTTTTCAATTTTAAAACCCAATAAACTCCCAACTCTAATCAAAATCCTAATTAAAGCTGGGCGTGGTCGCACACACCTATAATCCGAACATTTGGGAGGCTGAGGCAGGAGGATTACTGTGAGGTCAAGGCCAGACTGGGCTACACAGTGAGTTCAAATCCAGCCTGAACTACATAGCAAAAGGCTATTTTAAAAAACAAACAAACAACACCCCCCCCAAAAAAAACCCAAACAAAAAAAAGAATTGAGAAAATTCGAGGAAGACTATGCCAAATATCAGAAAATCTATGTATAAAGATCACTGTCCTCCAAGTTACTCAGGCATGTGCAGACCTGAAGGTTCATGACCCTGGCTTTTATCCAGCCTTATTTGTATGGTGGTTTTGACTCCCTAGTAGGTTTTAGACCATAAGATGACACATTATCTAAAAACCTTCATGGTCAAAAACCATCCCTTTTAGCTCAGTGGTTCCATTGCCTGCCTTGCAAGCACAAGGTTTCGAGTTCGATCCTCTGTACACACACACAAGGTTTAGATTAACAAATGCTGTTTATCATTTTAAAACTTAAAATTGTTTGATTGAGTTCCTCCCGGTTTCCTGCCTAAACCTGCTTCTCTTGGTCTTCCCCTTGCGTGGTAGAGGGGCCTCGCTCACCTGGCCCTTTTCACTCGCCTCCCCGCCGCTTAGGCCCACAGCGGGCAGCCCACCAGGCACCTCTCCTCTACTTCCACCTGGGCCCAAAGCTGGGACGAAGACTCAACGACAGGGCGTGGCCGGGAGGTGCTCAAACCTCGCTGGGGAGAACGCACTGTGGGAGGAGCCAAAGTATGGGCGGAGCCAAAATGTGGGGTGGGACCGCGGTGAGAGGGAGAGGGTGTGGTGTAACAGGGAGGGGCCACAGTATGGACCGGGTGCCTAGACTGGGGCAGTGTACCGGGATAGGACTGGAGCGTGGCGCGGGGTAATATCCTGGCCAGGCCCAGTGTTAAGCATGAAAAACAGCCCCCCGCCCCAAGCACGCGACAGGAGCAGGAAGCTGGGGGAAGGACATGACGGGACGGGGGCCAGAGAGCTCCGCCAGGACCTGAGCTTCTTCTGGAGCGAGCAGAAGGAAAGGCAGCTGCTCCAGTCCAGCTTTCAATAGAGGTGGCCCGAGGGTGGGAGTGTGAAATGGGGAGAAATAAAGGGAGATCAGAGAAGTATCCAGAGAGGAGGGGATCCCAAAAGAAAGGGCTCTGGAGGACAGAGTGTCCTGAGCAATAGGTGTCCCGAGGAAGGGTCGTCCAGAGGGGAAGAGATCAAGAGAGGAGCTGTGTCCTGAGGTGTGTAGGGTCCCCAGGGGAGGGGTGTCCGGAGGGGAGTGGTGACCAGAGAGGAAGTGAGTGTCCTGAGAGAAATGGCATCAAGAAGGGAGGGTGCCCTGAGGAAAGGAGATTCCTGAGGGGAATGGATTCTTGAGATGAGGGAAGTCATTAGGGGAGCCAGGGTCCTGAAGATAGGGGGTTGCTGGGACTGGGAGATTCCTGAAGGTGAGTTTCCTGACGGAGGAGGGTTCAGAGGTGCCCTGATGAGTCTGTATCTTAAGCCAGGGGGGATGGATTTTAGGGGAGGACCAGCTCCTGGACGAGTAAGGATGCCTTTAGAGCATCACACGTCCTGGGTATGGGGCAAGGTTCTGGGCTTGATTTGAGAGGTGCATTTTAAAGTCTTTCCTGAAAAAAATGGAGGAAGGCTTCCCCCTGCTGGGGGAATCTTTCACCAGCTTGTAGTTCCCAAGAGAAGATAGGTGGTAAAAGCATTTGGCCTAGAGAGGAGAATGGGTTTAGACAAAGGAGAAGTAAGGAGAATTAAATATAGTGGGAAATGGTGCCTGGCAGCAAGAGCAGCGCAGGCCCAAGCCATCCTGTCCCGACCCTCTGTCTGGCCCTGCTACTCTGTGCCATCCTGACCACCTGTCACCTGAACTCTATGTAGAGGAGTCAGATCCAACCAGTGCAGTCAGTTTTAATGTCTTAGGCACTTAGGTTAGAACCTCATTTCCTCTTGTCTGTTACTCCAGCACTCCAGTCTCCCCATCCATCTCTCTCCCAGGGCAGGGTTCTGAATAAGTCCTAGCACCCTCAGGAGCAATTAGAGTCCTGTCCTGGTTCTACCTCCTACCTGCCCTGTATATAGGCCAAGGTCTGAATCTTTATGCTCCTACTTCTTCCTGGTGAAATTAATTTGGCCAGCCAACATTTCCTGATTTCCTGCCACTCAGATTGCCTACTTTGCAAATGTTAACTTTGGGTTGGAAGATCACGCCCAGCTACCTGGTCTTCAAGCCTTTCTGAATCTCTGGTACACTGGCCTCTATTTTCTGCCCACCTGACAGCCTTTCTGGTCTCCATTTATCCCTCAGCTGGCATAGTCTATGATGTTCTTATACTTTCTTAACTGTCCTCAGCACTCTACCTGCCTACTGTTTATCTGCAGCTCACACTATCATCTGCTACTGGAGAGATTACAACAGCCTCAGTCTAACCCATCTCCTCTCTTCAGTCTTGTCTCCCTTGCATCCATTTTCCCACACCTCTGAATGAACTTTCACCTGATTACTCTGTTAGAAACCTTGTTTCTGCTTGTTGCCTGCAGGAGTAAGTCCAAGCTCTTTAGCATGTCATTCACAATCTGGACCAGTCTGACCCCTACTGACACCCCTACTGCACTGTTCACACCTCACTCCCAACACACAAAACACACCAAACACACACAACAAATATAAATACCACATACATGCCACTTACACTCACATAAACAATACACACACTATCACAGATACAGCAGAAATGCACTCAGACACCCATACCATACACACATTCACACACTATCATACACAGCAACTCACACAGAGCCATATGTATATATTCACTCACCCAACACACTCTTTTGTTTTGTTTTGTTTTTGGTACTGGGGATCAAACTCTAGTCCTTGTGCTTGAGAGGTAGGCAGCGGAACCACTGAGCTAAATCCCCAGCCCTCACAACACACTCTTTTTTTTTTTTTCTTTTTTCTTTCTTTTTTTTTGTATGGGGGATTGAACTTGGGTCCTTGTGCTTGCAAGGCAGGCCACTGAACCGCTGAGCTAAATCCCCGGCCCTACAACATACTCTTAAAGCACACACATTACCTCCTCTTTCTTCTCCTGCCCCTTCTTTGCTATACTGGAGATTGAGGCCGGGGGCTTCACACTTTGCTATATCCACAGCTCTTTTGTTTTTTGTTCGTTTGTTTTTTGAGACAGGGTCTCACTATGTAGTTACGACTGACCTGGAATTCACTATGTAGTCCAGGCTGGTCTCGAACTCACGGTGATCCTCCTGCCTCAGTCTCCCAAGTGCTGGGATTACAGGTGTGCACCACCATGCCTGGCTCTCCATGGCTCTTTTTTATTTTTATTTTAAGACAGGCTTGCTTGCTAAGTCACTAAGCTGTATAGGCTGGGCTCAAACTTGTGATCCTCCTGCCTCAGCCTCCCAGAGGGCTGGGATTTATAGTGTGTGTCCCTGCTCTCAGCTCACAAACATTTTCTCTCATATAATCATGCATATTCTCACACGCATACTCACATATATCCACATACTTCAATCACTTCTATACCCACACCACACTCACACATCACAACACACTTATATCAGGCATACTCTCACACATATCACACGTGCTCACATCCAGAAGTTGAGCTTTAGTTCTCATTCCTGAAACCCCTGAGAACAAACCTTTTTCAAGCTACAGTTCCAACTTCAATACTCATTTCTGTCTTCAGCACCAGCTGTCTGAATTCCCCTCCTCCAGAAACCCTTTCCTGCCTTCTAAACTTGACAATTCTGGAGTTGGAAAATCTGAAGTAGTCCAAGAATCCTCTGGCTTTCTCAATTAGCCAGGGTGTAGGAAACTAGAATTTAGCTTTTTAAGATGAGATTTCTTAAATGTTGCCTCCCCACTTGTATTACCCTGTATATTGTCTCAGAATCATTAACTATACAACATTTAAAACATATGCTTTGGTGGGGAGGCACTCTGTGTCTGAGTTTGATTCCTGGTACAAAACAAAAAACAAACAAAAAACCACCACCGAAACAAAACATGAGGGGCCTATGTAATTGTGATTACTAGAGAGAAATGAAGACCACCCCACTATAGCCAGACTGGATGGCATGAACACCATGGGTAGGGAGCAGAGGAGTAAGACAGCAGGGGAGGAACACAGACTTAGGTCTCTAGCATCCTTGTGCAAAAGCCTAAATTCTCAGTCAGAAATATATCTGGTTTAGAATGAACCAAGTTCTAGTGATTCATTGTCTGCAGAGTTGTTGGAGGGAATCTTTGCTTCTAGTGAGGCATTGAAGTCATGCAGTAGGTGCCCTGGCTGAGGGTGGAAGGGCAGGGCACCAGAGCCTGGGAGTAGCAATGATTAACATGAGTGAGGGGGGCGGACAACGGGGCTTGGGAACTCAGGAAGAGGGGTTTGGAGGAGGGTTATTAGTTTCAAATGCCATGCAGAGGTGGAGAACGATGTGGCACCTAGGGAGCCACCCACAACTTTTCTAGAACAGTGGTGTCAGGGTCTGTTGCCAAGCTGTAGAGGTTTAAATAGGCAGAGGCCAGAAGAGCAAAGTCCTCTCAGGGAAGGGGTGAAGAGTTTGTGCCTGCTGATGCACAGACAGTGGGTCAGGCAGGGAAGGCGAGATGCAGGTCTGTGGCAGGAGGCAGGTAACTGCCAGGGGTGGGTAGGCTCTGAGCACACGTGGAAAAGTCTGCCTTGGACAGGAAGGAGCACAGCTTTCTCCAGGACCAGAAGGATGTTATAGGGAAGAAAGAGGAGCAACAACCAGCAATATTTCATCACCTGCTTACACCCTTGTTACCTTCACCAACATCGTGTCAGCCGTGGACTCCTGTGGTTACATCCTGGAAGCTTCCTGCACCCTTAAATTCTCTACCTGGTATCTCCAATACTGACCACTCTGCCTACAGCTTCCCATCCTTCCAGCTCCTCTCTCCTTCCTATCACCTCACAGCTCTGCGGTTTTTGTTGCTTTCTGGCCCCTGGCCACCGACTCAGTCCCTATACTTAGGCCTAGCTCACAGTTGTCATTTCAGCTACTGTTCTGCAAACTGCAACTTCTTTGCCCGTTCTTCTATTTCGCCCTACTCTGTATATCTCCAGCCCAAGGGCTTCTGTCACACCCCAACAATTCCCAAACCTTGGGCTTCAATCCTAGTTCCCCTCCTCAGCTTCTAGATATAGGTTGTCAGTTGCCTTTTGGCCACGTCTAACTGGAGAGTAATGAGGGAGAAAGTGAGGGGGAAGATAATGGGGGAAGCTGAGGTTAGGGATGGAGTCAGGGTGGGGAGGCTGGGGATTAAGGACATGTTGGGCCCCGTAGGACAGCACATTTGGATTCCAGAGCTGGGAAGTACTTAGTCTATGGTGCTGCTTGGAAGTTTGGTTGAGTGGAGGAGTGTGGGTAGGGGCTCCTACCATCAGGTGAGTGGGACTGGGGCCTAATTTTGCCCTTTCTTCCCTGTTGTCCCTGTGTGCTCATCTTCCCTTCACCCAATGGGGTCAGTGTTCCCCAAGTTCATTACTACAGGAATGTATGTCCTTCTTCCATGATTTCCTGAGACCACAGCACACCAAATCTCTCCTCTCCGCACAGCCTTATACTCCCCTCCCTGCGGTCCTCGAACCCAGCCCCTTATAGTTACCCTGGTGTTGGGCAGGGCCTGTTGCCACCTCGCCAAGCCCACTGGTGAGCCCACTGATGTTGATGCTGCCTGCCTGAGTCTTGATAGCAGACCTGAGTTCTTGATTCTCCCGAATGAGCCGCACCAGCTTCTTTAGTTCCTCATTCTCTCGTACCAGCTTCTCTATTTGATGCCGAAGCCCTTCATAATTGGTGAGTAGAGACATACCCTGGGGCAGCAGAGAAGGTGCAGCCCACAGAAGGGCACTGCACCTGGATTGCCGCCCAGGGCCCTGGGCCTTGCCCAAGTGGGAAGAGGGCACGAGAATCTACAAGGCTGGCCCAGTGGGCCCTGGCTATTGTGAGGTCAGAGGCTGTCCCTCCTTGGTCTCTGCTCTAAAAGGCTCAGCTCTCTATGCCACTGGGCCAGTACACAGGTCCTGCCTTGCCTTGGAAAGTCCTGATCCCTTCTCTGTCTGGCCAGCTTCACTTTTCTTCCTCTGCAAAGCCTCCATTCCCCACTGAAAGCTAATCTCTGTCTGCTAGGCAAGATGCCCTTTCCTTCGATCTTGGGCATTCCTGGATTTAACTTGCCAGCCTTCTTATGAGGATTCTTTGTCTTGGATGTCTGGACACTGGCCCATGATTTCTGATCCCAGGTACTCAGAGTCCTTCACTGGCTGCTGCCCCAGGAGTCCCTCATCTAAGAACCTGGCATCTGGCTTTCTTCAGCTTTGAGTTTCTATTTCTGGCAACTCAGGTTCTCCTATTCTGAATCCCTGGTGGTGCTTCCTCTGCACCTGGATCTCTGCTCCCTAGCTCCTTGAATTTTCCTGACAGTTCTTCAAGAACCCGAGAGAGCATTGTTCATCTGGTTCTAAGAACTTAGGAGTCCAGGTCTTCAGGGTTCTATTCCCTTTTCTTAGAGCTATCTAAGGAGAACTCCATGGGCCTGACCTTAGGAATCAACAGAGATCGTATCCTCAGGACATCTACTGGTTCTGCTCCTGTGGGTATTTGCTCTTAAGCCTCTTCATGGGGCAGGGAGGAAGGGTGAAGTCCAGAAAAAGGCTAGTTGGCAGTCCTGGTAGAGGTGGCAATGAGGAAAGGGAAAAAGGCCAACCGAGGCTGGAATCAGTCTGAGTTCAGCATTCTACTTAGACCTCACAATGGGAAGCCCGCTGCCCTTCTCCGATGACCCAGACTGCAATCCTGACTGAGTCACTCTGACCTCAGGGAGCAGAGCTCCTGGGGTTCAGGGCTGAGTTCTCTTTATTCTACTTTCTAATTTGAGCAGCCAGGCATGGTGATGTATGCCTGTAATCCCAACACTCAGGAGGCTGATGCAGGAGGATTGCCTTGAGTTTGAGGACAGCCTGGACAACATAGTGAGTTCAAAGCCAGTCTGAATTACAGAGTGAGATCCTGTCTCAAAAGACCAAAACAAAACAGGGCCGGGGAGGGCCGGGGATTTAGCTCAGTCGTTCCACCACCTGCCTTGTAAGTTCAAGGTCCTGAATTCAATCCCCAGTACCAAAAAAAATCCAAAACAAAAAAACTCTAACCCCAGTATCTCTGCTTTAAATGACAAAATCTTTTTCATATGCTGGGGGAAAAAAAAAGAGTTTATCATACTCCTTTCCCACCACTGGCCTCTGTTTGGGTTGAAACCATGCATGACAGCTATATATTATATGTCCCAATAAGTTCTGGTGCCCATGTGTTTGGTCAAATGCTAACGTAGACATCGCTGTGAGGGTATTTTGTAGATATAATTAACATTTATAAAATGCTGGCTTTAAAAAAATAACTTCTGGGCCAGGGATTTAGCTCAGTGGTTTTGCCACCATGTAGACATCGCTGTGAGGGTATTTTGTAGATAAAATGCTGGCTTTAAAAAAATAACTTCTGGGCCAGGGATTTAGCTCAGTGGTTTTGCCACCTGCCTTGTAAGCGCAAGGACCTGAGTTGGATCCCCGGTACCAAAAAAAAAAGAAGAAAGAAAATAACCTTCAGTCCTATGGGCAGGCTGTATCCAATCAGTTGGACTGAAAAGCAGAAAATCCTGAGGGATTTTTTTGGGGGAAGAAGGAATTCTGCCTCAAGACTGTAACATAGAAATCCTGCTAGAGAGGCAATCTACTTTCCAGTCCCCCTTCTGTCTCTCTTAGAAGCTTTCTTTCTCTCCATAAATTTTTCCTACTCTTATAAAGAAAGAACGAAAGTAAGTAAAAAATAAACAAATAAATCAAGCTGGGTGTGGTGGTGCATTCCTGTAATCCAAGTACTCGGGAGGCTGAGGCAGGAGGATCGCTGTAAGTTCGAGACCAGCCTGGGCTACATAGTGAGCTCCAGGTCAGTCTCAACTGCATAGTGAGACCCTGTCTCAATCAATCCTGCGAGTTTCCACCCTCTCCTACAGATTTCAGACTTCCTGGCCTCCACAATTATAGTGGACTGATTCCTTAAAATAAATAACATAAAGTAACTATGACTTATATACCATCTCTATTTTCCTCTGTACCACTGCTTCCACAAATATATATATTGTGT